TGAAATATTGTAATGCTGTATTCACCAGCTTCAATGCTTGCACAAGTTATTAATTCAGAATAACATGTTAGACAACCTGAAATGCTTAATTAGCATACAGGCTTGAAAAAAGAGGTTCTTTAATGGTTCTTTTGGTAATGTATAGTATCCATGACAACTCCATGACAAAAAAAAACAAAAAAAAACAACAACATTAGAATGCTTAAATTATTCTTTGTTTGGTTAAGTGGTTCTTCTCCATGATAAAGAACATCTTGCATACGGTTCTTTAAAGAACAGTTTAAATATAGCACCAAAAAGGGTTCCACCAATGTTACATGAACTCATTAGTAAATCTTTTAAAAAAGTGGTTCTTCAAGGGTTTGGTAGTAAAGGCAACAGTTATAGAACCATAACAGCTATTTGAGTGCATGTATGGTTGAATGGTTATTCTTTATGATGCCAAACCTATTGTCTATGGTTTTCTCAGAAACCTTTAAAAGGGTTCTATATAGTACCAAAAACATTTTCGCTATTGTTACAAACCAAAGAAACAAAACCATGAGTACATTGTTAAATTGGTTGTCGACCAAATTATATACAGCATCTAACTAATTTTTCTTTTGAATGGAAATATGTCAAAATCTTGTCCAGCAAATCGGACAGAAGAAGGGCTGCGCTCCTTGACTACTGAAGATCTAGAGCGCCATCATGTGGAACATCGAGTTCACTCTTTTCTTTTTTTCGCTTGATTTCATGCGGTAGCCACACATACACCCCTAAAGCCAGGGGCTAGCACACTGTGATCTGAATGACAGTCACACACTAATGAGGCTATAATGTCACTATCCTTTAACTGTCACCTCAGAATTACGATGTCGACTTGAAGAGAAATTCTCAGTAGTTGTCAATTTATAGCACAATTAAGAGACGAGTCAAAAAGAAACACGGACGTGATACATCCACAGCCTTCACTGTGGACAGAGAAAACGTGAAGACAGAAAAGAAAGAGGACTGAGATTAGAGATTTGAGTTACAGTTCTGAGGTTTACCACTAGGTGTCAGACTTGCGCTTTACAATGCATTCCCTCATAGGCAGTCAAGGTAAACAACACGTCACGTTGCTGCTTGTTTCTACAGGCAAATGAAATCACGTTTCCCATTTACTCATAATTATTCCTGCAAATTATTGCGCTTGCATTGTAATTCAATTCTGTGACTATTAATGCGACAACCGAGATTACGATTTGATTCTCCATAGCAGCTGAAGCAGGTGTTCATTTGATGTCGCGCAAGGTGGATAATTAGGAAAAGAATATTTATTCTTCCACCTCTTGAAAACCTTTCTCTATACTCTCCTGTCTCATTAGACTAACAGTGCTTCCATAAGCATGTGTGTGTGAGGACCAGTTACAGCTGGCAACAACTAAGTTCCTCGCCACAGTGCACGATGACTATAACGCTGCTTTATTTTCAGTTACAACAGTAAGACTGTGGTTCTTAAACCTTCCTGATTCACTGCCAGATTTACTGTCCTCAGGATACGTGTCCAATGGCAGAAACGCCCTCAGCCAGCTCAACTCGTGTAGTCCCTAATGAACGTTTCCAGTTGAAAGGTACAGATGTTTGAGCAGAAATGTTTCATCGATCTGGTTATAATTTTATTAGTCAAAGTTAGGGTGACTTAAGGTATTTTAGGATAACATTAACTCAAGGGATTTATAACAGGCCCTAAATAACCAGACCTTTCTTATATTTAGTTTCCCCCTACGTTTAGGAGCGGTGGTACGTCAGTTGCGTACTACTTATTGCAGTGCATTGTGGGATTGTTCGAGTGTACTGAAAATTCTGCACTGTTTTTGGACACCACTACTAAATGGTGGAACATCAAAATAGTGCTATAGCCAATAGGGCACAGCTAAGAATTTATACTGTAGTGCTACACTCTTTTGTTCTAGAAAAAAGTATATTACTGTAATGTGTTACCCCAACATTGCAAATTAGCACAATATGTGTATGTGTGTCTATGTAAGAGAGAAGGCAGCTGCAGATGATATGGAATCATCATTAGTTAAATCTCTTTGAGTGGAAATAAAAGTGTGTAGGTATATTGTGTTTTGGTCAGTCTCCTTACATTACTTCATGTGATTCAGCTAAACATGTCATTTACGTGTTAGATATTGCTAGGTTTTTAACATGACCACTTGAAACTGGCACACATTTTCCACATCCATTTAAACTACAGAAACAGTTAGGATGTTTCACCTCCATTACGGCCTAAACAGATTATAATCCAGCCGTAAAATTTTAGTTTCATACCTTAAAATCAACAAAATGTGTAATATTTATCTTTATATAGCCTAATGCTGGAATTAATGTACCTGGTTTAGAAAAATGATGAGACATTAAGATCAGACAGAAAGCAACTAGAGTAAAATCAACAAAGCGTCCATCTGTGGTATAATACCATACTAGTCATTCTCTCCGTCTGCCGTCACCTTGAGTCTTATTAGTCAGCTGGAGATCAGGGGCTTCATGCTCATCCCTGTCACATCTGACTTCATGCTCCAGCGCACTCTACAGCTATCCCGCTGAACAGAGCCTGAGAGGAAGGTTCAATGACATCATACCACAGGTTGCCTAAGAGTACAGTGATGTCATGTAGAAGGGTCATGCCTCTCTCTGTCCCTGTGCGATGTTTAGGACTGATGTTCTACCAACACCTGGCCTTTGGATACGCTTATGTAAAAAGAAGCAGCCTCCCCTGGGAGGCAACAGTACAGTGCATCTGAGTATATCATCTGTGTAGACAGTAATCTCTCATGAACATTTTGCTAAAAGCTTAGCTTTATTCACAGAAACATTGCATACATGCAGACCTTGAAAGCAAAAACTCTAGGTCCACTTAAAGACTCTAGCTTGTCTCTGTAGAACCCTTGGTGTCAGATAGATTCTTTCCCTCAAGCAATATTCCTCTTATATGGTTGTCTTAGCAGAACTTCAACAGCTGAAACATTTTTTTTCCTAACATCTTGGTAACATGCAGTGACATTAGTGTGGAAGAGGAGGGCTACAAAACCTGCAGATGTCTCACATTTAATTTTATTTCTTCAGTGTTCCATGAAGGGATTTTAATCTGTGACCTATAGCTATGGGACTGTGTCACTTTATCTCTGCAGTATTACTACAGATTGTGAAACATCTTCCGAAAATTTCTTAATAGTATTATTATCAGTATTATTTTTCCATGATTTTTCAGAACGCAAAAGACCATAAGAAGCAAATGATATACAGTTCAGTCTTGAATGATCTCATAGAGGAAGGAATTTGGTTCCTTAGAAGAACCTTTCAAGGGATGCATAAGAAGAGCATTTAAATAATCTTGACATAATGACAATTCTATGTTACTTTTTGCATGAGTATAAGAGTAACCAATCAAAACAGAGATAATTTGCATACATCAGTATTAAAATGTTCATATATCAGTATTAAAAGCCCAGTAACAAAACAGCTTGGATATTAGAAAGACATGCTTGGTGTCCAAATTATGCCTCTTTAGTTTAACGCTGGAGCTACAAGAAAAACATTGCCAACAAACACTAGAAGTCAAGTCAGACAAATCTTTTACATAAATGCCAAAACTTCTCTCAACTTGCTCAAACTGCATCTTGATCTTCATTAAGGTTGCACAGACTTGTTGATGTGGTTTAGGAAACAGTATGACTTACTGTGAACTTCAAAAATGAGCAAAACTTCATCGTATAGCTAAACACAGCAGGTAGCCAATTTAGACTCTCCTGCAGAATGCAACTCCCCTTTGCATGCCCATCAGGCAGGCATATGGACACTACAGATTACATTTGCATGTATCTTCAGTTCAGAAATTCAAGAATACTAGTTATTCATAAAAAGAAACAATAGTGTCCATAAGCCCTCCCGTGTAGGGGAGTTGGACGTCAACACAACACTTGTCTAAAACGGCTGCCCACTGCGTTCAACAAGGTGAAGTTTTTTTTTATTATTTTTATAGGGCATACGGTGTCCTAAACCACACTGATATGTCTGTGCCACCCTAATGAAGACCTGGATTCTTCAATTTTGGGAACGTATTTTGGATGACTACTGATTTCCAGTGTTAGTTAGTGATGTTAGCCTTTTAGCTAAACTAAAGATGAAAAGTTTGTACATCAAACATGTTTTGATCGATCTGGGTTAAGTGCAAAATTGAGAGGTTTTCGCTGAACCATTCCTTTAAGCTACCTATGGGAATGTGTTGGCTGCTTTACTTAACATGGTTATATGTGTCACAGAAGTGAAGAATCTCAGTTACATAATCTGACTGTATCTGCAGACAGTATAAAGTCAAACTTTATAAAACCAATTTACGATTATGAAACAGAGCACTCAGATCAGAAATAGTCCAAAATAATCCAAACATAATGAGATTGCACCATTACAGTAATCTAAAAGATGTTATTACGTTTTGGTCATTTGTAACCAATACCAGATTACATTCTTAAGAAATCTACCCAACACTGCAGATAGCTCATCCATCAAAAAGACTAAATGAAGGTAAGAGGGAAATGAGGATTCATTCCCACTGTCTTCTGTTCTTGTTTCTAACAAGCAGGCTGTGAGTGGACAGTTTCATGTGCATTCGTGTCCCAGAAATGAAAAATTTAAATTTTGAAATAATCCTGATAGAAGACAGAAGCTCAGTCCTGTCCAGTTCTCGAGTACAAACACAGATAAATGTGTTTTGTGATTTGATATTTTATCTGTTATCTTCTGATATATAATATATAATGTCTAATTAGAGCGAGAGACCAAGCAATTCAATCAACAGTAGTTATATAAGCAAGCTGATTTGTTATAATGTGCGACCTCACTAACAAAACCCTAAAGAATTGAGTTACCAACAATGCAGGGCAACAGAACATCTTAATTATCCCCCAAATCTAGATCCCATAAATGAATTTCCTTGTTGCATCAGTTAGAAACCACAAGGAGAACAAAACACATTAATATACAGCTGTTTTTTAATTGCAACAAATTACATCAGTCATTATACAGAATTCAGTTTTATTACATACAACACATTCCCAGTGCTTCTTACTACAATGAAAGGATTTGCATGAAAAGTAATGCTTAAATTCACTGTCAAAAGATTAGGTTATACTTTTGTATCAGATTCACGGTCAAATAATCCAACCTGCAAAGTGGAATCAAAGGAAAGAAAAAGGCTCTGCTGACTAAAACGATTCTCACAGATGTGGATTAAAATGGTCTGTCAATCAAAAATAGACTTAAAGTACCAAGTGCTGACAATCATTTACACTAATGCAATGGAACAGCCCCTTAAGTAGCATCAATGCCACATGAACTTCGTTAATCCAGTTGAGATTTCTGGACATAAATTAAAATGTAAATGGGAATTCCACTGATTTTTTCAAAATTTCTGCGTAATTCAGACATTGAGGAGTAAACAGAATCTTTCAAAGAAACTTACCGTCTCTGATTTCTTCACAGTGATGGTGATAGGAACCAGGGTCTCTACAATGCAAATGCAGCCAAATATACGTGCAGTCTAAAATGACTAGTGAACCTATATGACAATGGTAAAATAATGGTTAATCCCCACTGACCCCCCCTTCCAAAAAATTACTATGATTATAATAATTATCATCATAAAACAATGTCTCAGGCATTATTCAATGTATTCATAACTTTTAAAGGCATTAAATGCTTTGGATATCTGGTTCCTATCACTGTGAATAATTCTCAGTAGTTTTATGTGTCGGACTTTGGCTTTGGCTACATTCACATTCAAGTCTCAATGCTCAGTTCCGATCTTACTAACTTGATGGTTCACTTTGGTGTAGGTAAGTGACACAAATCTGTCATTAATGTGAACGAAACTTGCCTTGAAACGGCCTGCATGCGCATATCATAATCAATAATGTCACGTGAATGGATGTGCGTTATTAACAACAAACAAACTAGCAGAACAAGCCTTCATCATGAAGACAATTTGCTTTAAATAGCTTTCTGCTCTTCATTATTACTTTAAGCCAAAGGTGAAAAAGGGGCAGATGCTTTTGAACTGTTTCCCGGGAACTAACTTTAGGTTTGGCACTGCTGCCTCGTTAACACTAAATGATGGTGCATGCAGTGCATGCAGTGTTTTTCACTGGATATACTGGCTGGATTCCATTTACACTTTTTACTAAAAGGCCTCCCCAGTTTGACAAGACGATCCAAAAGCATATCAACACATATATTGCTTCCGTTTTGTTTCCTTCTTCGATTCAACAAGCTTGCCTTGGTCACTTTCAGAGACTGAGAGTGCGAGAGTTGGGGAACTCCAGCCTTGTGTATCCCCTATATTTCCTCTCATTGTTTATCCTCTCAGTCAATAGTCAGCATTCTGCAGACATATTTCCACTAAACACAAGGTATAAACAGGCCCTTTAAGGTTCCATTGCCACAAATCGGATATGTATCAAATCTAGGACGAGTGGCCCAGATCTGAGACATAATGATCAGATTTGTCTGTTCATGCAGCTCTGAAAAAAAAATCAGATTTGTGTCACATTAAGGCAAAAAATCGGATTTAGGATTCAGCTTGGTAATGTGAATGTAACCTATGTTTACATATTGCCCATTTAATTCTGCATATGTTTTGAAACCTTGGTGGAATTTCTCTTGAATCTGAAAGTAATTCTTTGGTGTGTTTTTTGTTCATCTAGTATAAAATTACTATGCTAAGACAGATTTCACAGTGGGTACATAAAATAAAAATATCCCTCCTTTGTGCCATAACACAAATTCTGTAATGCTCTTCTTTTGCAGACAAGGATAGAATTATAAATTGTTTACGTTTCAATACAAAAAAATAGGAAGATGCTACTAATCACTTGTTTTATTATTGTGTCCAGTGTCACTCTCTATTTGGAAGTATTACACAACTTTTTTTTAATACCCTGGCAGTGTAACATCAGAAATCTCTTCATCCATGTAAACATAATTACAGTTCAGTCACCAAAGCAAAGCAAATCACTGTGAATGATAGGAATACACTCATGGCCTCACACAATATGCTTTGTAGTCAAACCAAAAACACTGAAAAAACAGGGAGACATTCATAAATGATCAATTGTTAGTATGTTCATTTGTAAATGGGTACAAAATAACTGTTCAAAGGATGTATTTATTTGGCAACAAAAAAAAGCGCAGCATTATATTCCCATACTTTTCATGTGCTGTCATCTTTGAAGCATGACCCTGCATTCACCTCTGTTCATTCCACACAATCTGCATTGTAACAAGCCAGTCTGAAAAGCTATGCTAATTCTATTTCTTGATGCTGTCTACAATTTTCGGTTTGACAAAGAAATCAAACTGACTGCTATATTTTCACTGTCAGGATGAAACCTGGCAGATTGTATGTGTTCAGTATTTCTTTTTTTTAATGAATGCAGCATAGGCTTTCAGCTGTTATCACAGTGCAAACTGAAATAACTTGTTTTCCCTCTAATTTGCAAGTGTTCTAATAATATGCATGGGGGCACATGACGGAGCATTGCATTTATTTTTAGATCCATCATCATCAGTGGCACAGTGTTAACACTTTTTTTCATGGAAAAATTAAGACAGAATGGATGTTTTAAAGCGGGAAACTGAACTGAAACATTGCACTTGTTATGTCACTCCACTGGTGTTGCCTGACTAAGCAAGACATTTTAATGGCTGCTACAATCAAAGAAGTCAAAGAAACTAATACAGTGATGGAAGCAACAGAAATCTGTACGTCATGCAGACCAATCAGTGCCATTAACATGCACCTATTTAACTCTAAACACTAGCATATAGGTTGCCTGTACAGAATGTCTCATACTTAAAATACTTCAGATACTTTATTTTTGATATCTACATTACATACAACATGTAGCTGCAGGTTTGCAAATGGATAGATGTTTATTATTCAGAAGCACATGATTAAAACTCAACTATTTTTACTGACAAACAAAATATAGTCACCAAATTTGGAACCTAAAAAAAACTGCAAAAATATCCAGAGAAAGGAGGACAAATCATATTTGGCTGGCCCAAAGCATTTCCTCAGTCCTTCATTAAAGAAGTACTCCAGCATTTTTCAATCTAACCTCTGTCTGCTGCATCTGTAGTTTACGGTTAATTAGCAGGATGCATTTCCTTATACTTAATAAAAGAACAGAAGAAGCATTGACTCTAAGACACCATCCCATTATAATAGGGGCCCTTGGATCAAATGTGGCCCACAAGAATGTTTGATTTGGCCTAAAAAAAAAAAGTTGCCTAACACTCCACTCTCTCAGCCAATGAGAGAACATGTATTTTTATACTTATTTTTTAACTTATTTTTTCTCTTAAAATTTTATTTTTTAAGTACTTTCAGTAACAAAACACACATATACATGAGTGCAGGCACAGCGCAAAATGTGCCTTCATGCAAACGTAATATGCAGCCACAATAGACTGCAGCTTATCATGCAAAATACGCCTAGCCCTGCCCACTTACTGCTCGCTAATGCGCAGGGTTTAAAAACAGGCTGGAGACAAAGCAGAATATGAATGTTCAGTGACAAAGAGATGCCCATGTTAATAAATGCTATTTCCCACTAACACATTCAAAAGGATTGATTTTATAACGGCTAAAACATTTTGTTTATAAAATTATAGTATAGACTGTGCATGCACATTGCAGCCACATCATGCAGATTTCGCAATATTATCATATGCATACATCCAGGTTCTGAGAGTTTAAGGAGAGTTATTCCACTGGCAAATATTCTTTCAGTACACGTTCTGGGCTCATGCATCCATCTTACCACTATGGCTGCTGCTATTGTTAAATAATGTCTCTGAACAACATCCCTTTCGAGACCCTAATTTATGACTGGTTCTAAGAGGGGATAGGAAAATACACCACTGGTTGCTCAACCCTTAGTAAATCAAATACAATTTGTATTGAGCCACACTTCTAATATATCCCCCCACTTTTTGTGAGATCCTCTAAAATTTTGTGCAACCTTCCTTGTGCATATGCATTAACACTTTGGTGCCCAAAGACAAAAAGTTTGGGCACCCCTGCCGTATATTATAAGCATGTTCTGAGTCAGTCTCTTCAGTTCTTTTTTTAAGGGAAAAGACTGTCTGTGGTAATCGGTCATATGCTACAGATGCAGCAGACAGAGCTTAGGTTAAAGTCTGGAGTAAACAGTCCCTGAAACACTGATGCATGTAAAATTAGCCGAAGCCACCACTGCCATACTGTAGCACTGGAGTCTCCCTAACAATCACCATCCACTGTATAATTCTACATTTTGTTAAATTCATGCAAATGCTGAGCGCAACATTATACTGCTGGGAAGCATACATTCTTGCATTTGTGAGGACAGTTAGGGTCAGACCGCCAACTAGAAAATAAATAATTATCTTGATGCAGGCTTTATTAACTCAAACGTTAAACACTAGTCAAATGCTGCAAGGCACTGTTCAACGATGGTTTTATGCACTGAAAGCTGGCAGAACATGTAAACACATTCTAAGCTTGACCTGAGCTTGTCTTTCACCCTACACAATTCCACTGGAATGTCATTAAAAGAATACTTAAGCATTTTTGAACTAATCTCTATCTGCTGCATCTGCCATATACGATCTACTACCACAGATAATCAGTTCCCTGTACTGAGGTTCAGCTCCTTACCATGGGCTTCTATTACAAGTGTGTCAAAAGGTTTTCTGTTCTTTTACAAGGTACAGTCAAAATGACTGCATGTGATAATCAAGGAATGCTACAGATGCAGCAGATAGCGATTAGGCTGGAAAACGCATACAAGTACACACTATAAGTGATTGTTTTGCACTCTTAATAAATCGCCACACAGCTTGCATCCCAAACCATGTCAGTTCAGTTATCAATACTAAACAATGAAGACAAAATGAAACAGAAATGTGTGCATTATTGTTCAACATCAAAAGGTTATATATTTTGATATTTCAGTTTATCACATTTATTTATGGGTATCTATGCTCAAAAGTCCATATTATACAAAATGTGTCTCCTTCAAGAGATTACATTTTCTACATTGTGCTGTGTAAAATGCAGTTCATTTCTTATCACCAACAAATTGATGCAAACACTGCAGAGAGTTTTAAATATTCTAGGGATTCACCGTCCATCCTTTGGCTTTCAGTCTATCCATTAAACACATCAGCAGGCAGATTCAGTCCATGGTCATAGTCACAAGTCACAAAGTATTCTTGGCAAAAAGAGACCTTTGATATACATTTAACATGGTTGACACTGCAACCAGATTTGATTCATGGGTAATACATTTTTTCCAAGTATTTACAGTAAACTGTAATTTTTATTAATATTTATGTTATCAGTAAGAGTGATAAATAAAATGTAGTGCAGCTATTAGACAAACAATAAAAAAAATCTTAAATACAAATCGTATGAATGATTTAGCTGTGCTTATTAGAGTGTGGCGATATAATACAAACAAAAATAAAACCCCTTTGACAAAAATATCAGTAATATACTTCTAAACAATACCTCAATGGACATAGAAAAAACTTCAGTGTTTGTTCTTACGATGGGCTTACAGCACAAAGCATATTCTCAAGCTGTACTGATGATTTTATTCTCTCTGTATGAAATTCAGAACCTTTTTCTAAATGTTCCACCACAATGCCTATTATCAAATACAGAACTACGTAGTTATCAAAAGTATATCCAAGTTATCTTCAGATGTGTGAATTTAGGTCTGACAATGCTACCAAGACATTATAACTGAACATTGAGTAAAGTGCTTCAAATAAGATCAGGAATTGGTCATCTGGACACACCTACAGTATATGCTTAACATGACTTTGGCACAAACTACAGTATTCTGAGAAGGAACCTTTTGGCAAACCATAAATTCAAAAATGGATAGTCACCATCACCGAAAATAAATGAATACCCTGTTCAGAAGATTTGGTACAGTCTTTTGTCATGTCAAGCTGATTTCCCCCGACCCACCTGCATGGTGCACCTTCAAAAGAACATCTGTATGCCCTCACACAAAAAAAATCCTCAACTCGCTTAGAGACGAGGCAGTATAGAGCAAATACTGTGTGACTGAACCATTTGATCATTCCAAAATGAGACGTGGTGCCAGCTAGACTTCAGAAAAACAGGCATTCAGTGCTCACCACTTTGATAGTTCACTATAGAGCATTTTCAGCCATGATAAAAAAACCCTCTGAATTTGTAAAAGCCTGCTATATCTTTAAGGACCTTTTTAGGCATAGTACTCTTTCTGTGGTACTACACTAAACAGAATATTTTCTCAAAATGCTTATGTTGCTAATAATGAAAGAAACCTAGTGACCAGTTAGCATTGTGAACGCTAGATAATGCCAATTTGCCTTGCATGAGTTTCATTTATTGTTAGCCATTTTAGCATTTTGGATGAACTACTCCTTCATAGTCCTACAATTTTATATACTGAAGAAGACATTAAGCAATGGTCAATGACACAAACTTTGTTAACTGTGCCACTAACCATGGTAGAAAGTTTACTGCTGGAAAAAAAAAAAAAAACAACTGATGAATAGATGTCAGTCACTGGATGCTGAAATGTCTCCGGATGTCCAAAGTCCATTGCTATTGTCTGTCCGCAACATGACAAACTCAGCTAAAGTACAACAGAAATGGGATCATCCAGAGAGAAAGTCCATTATTTTGGCTACTTTTTTAACAATGCTAACCTACCAAAATTTTGCCATTTGAATGGAGACTGGCTCCGTCTAGGTTGATGAATCTCAAATAAATCTGATTGTGCCAAGTCGTCAGGGAGTACATACTGTCCTTGGGCTATGGGGTCCTGGGGGGGCGGGGATGAAGGGGGCACATACCTGTTTTGGCTCACACCTGAGCAGCAAAGAGGCAGAGGGAAGGAGAAGAGTGGAAAAAGGAAAGAATGGACAATGGGGGGAGAAAAAAACAACCATTACTAACAGAACCAAAGGCATCACAGCCATTGTACAACTATGACAACTCATGCTTCACATAACATACAGTACAAACATGAAAACATGTTCAGCTACAAATTTGAGGAAGACAAGCTAAATTCTAAAGTTACTAGGTTTTGATGCAAAGCTAAAAGTATTTCTACATATTCCCACTATGCTACAACTAGAACTAATATCAATTTTCACAATTGATATTTGTTGCTAAGAACTTGAGAAGTTGCCATGGCACCTTGAAAAAAGAAAACACAGCAATCTTTCTGCATCAAAGCAAGCTTTGAGCTCAATTGCTTGTTTACCTGAATTGCTGGTAAGTATTTGAAATCAAGTGCTCTATGCATCTTAAATTCCACGGACACTCAAGTCCAAGGATACATTTATGACCGCATCAACAATAGCACTGCTGCTATCGCCCACTTTGCTATAGAGCCATTTTCACAGCAGTTGCCATGGCATCTTGGAGAAAGTTTTAACTCTACATAGAACGCTTATAAATATACCTTTATCATTTTCATACCATGTCCATATAATATGGCCCTCTTTCTCAAGATGATATCTATAAATGAATCTGCAAATTCAAGAAAATACTTCACCGTTTGTCAGTGAAGTACAATGGATTTCAAAAACAAGGCGTAAATATGACAAGAAGAAAGTATTATGCAAAATACTTTTAAGCAACATTCAATAAAAACACAATGTTCATGCATTTTCGTTTTACTTAACAGACAACACATAAATTACATGGTAATAATATGGTTATATCTCTACTGGTTTATATTGCTCTTTACAGATCATTATTCAGAAGTCAACATGCGTAAATATATATACAGTAAAATATGTCTTTTCATTGATGTTTAATTGAAATATTTAAATTGACCGATAATGACATAACCTCCAGGCCAGACTGACAAAGACTTGTATGCTCATTAGCGAATAATCTTAAAATTATTAAAAACTGAATAAACATAAAATAAACATTATAAAGCAGACTATAAGCTGTAATGTCCTGTGATCACATTAGAACAAAACTTCTTAGGCTTTTGCAGTGATGTTTCTTTTACTTATTGATGGCACCCAACTAGAAATAAAAGGAATAGTTCAATTTTAGCACTGTCTGGCTCCTTGCCTCTGCCAAAGTGGTTTTCCTTTCCAGTTTAGTGAATTCAAAAGGTGAACAAAAATATTACAGGCTGCATAGCTGCCAGTTTCAACACAAGAGTCCAAAACAGCAATGATAAGACAAGGTTGGTTTAAAGAGTAGAAAAAAATTGAATTCACCTGGTATCGCTTTGGTGCCTCACCTTTCTGTTTGGTCACCTTACGCACTGTCATGGCTGCTTGTCGTTTCTGATATTCAGAAATTTCAAAGCCTAAAACAAAAAAAAAAAAATTATGAATGTATTAATAAAGTGTTCAGTAGAATCTCTCTAGAATTGTATTTAGAACAGTATGACCAGTTTACAGTTCAAAGATGAGACTTCTCCAACAAAGGTGGAGTTAATTAAACACTAATGATTTTGAATGTTTATACAAAGGTTCAATGCTTTTCAATACTATAACATGATAAACAATTCAATACTTTAACTTTTGATACTTTCAATTCTTTACTTAATTAGACTAGCTCCTTGTTGATGTTGTATTGTGCCTTTGAAAAAACCAAATCTGACTCAGATGGGCAGACAAACTTTCAATATCATGTCTATAACATACAACTTTAGGGCCCAGACAACAAGTAGCAATATTGTTAATATGCTGGTCTGGACCTGAATTTATGGAGAATATTATTATATTGAAATTAGATATTTTCCCCAAACTGTTCAGCCCTATACCCAAATAATAAAAATAGTTACAATGCCTGTAGATGATGATAAAACTTTGATACTTGCACTGGCGCTGAAAAATTAGGCAGGTCTCTGTGAGTGCACTCTTCAGAGTGCGGTTTGCTTGCTTTCTCTCATCGTCCACTGATTCTCAGTTCCCTGTCATGGCTGACTGCTGACAGCAATTGAACATGCTCTATCGGTCAAAATAGCACTGATGAAGACTGACTAGAGCTAATGATGCGGGACACACCACACAAACTATGGGCGACGGTCCACCACCGACGATCATTGACAGCCTAACGGCTTCCAACAGCCGACTGTCTGCTTGGTGTATCTAGGCCCTTAGGAAAGCAAGCTTTAGGAAAGGAAGGTTGAGGCAAATGGAATGGGTATCTGAGCTGTAAAATTACTATTGTACACACTTAAAGGGTTCTTCAAGGGTTCTTTAGTCAAGAAAATGGTTGTATTTAAAACAATGAACACTCAGAGAACCCTTAAAGGGTTTTTTGCATCATGAAAGGGTTCTTCAGATTGATGGAGCATGCCTTTATATGGTTCTATATAGAATCTTTTTGAAAAGGGTTCTATATAGCACCAAAAGGGTTCTTTTATTGTTACAAGCTTGACATCGTAACAATACCAAGACCTTTTTGGTGCTATATAGAATCCTTTTCAAAAAAGGTTTTATATAGAACCATCTACAGCACTCTCCATAAAGACATCAAGAACCCTTTAATCATGCAAAGAGTTCTTTGAGTGTGCATGATTCTATATAGAACCATTTTCTTTACTAAAGAACCATTGAAGAACCATCTTTTTAAGTGTGTACACAATTTGCATATTGCATTTGAATAATATTCAATAAAAATACTTTAAATGTGTTTACTTTTTTTTTATGTTTTAAAAATCATATATGTTAATGAAGCTGTAGCAAGTTGAGTATTTTGCTGTGTTTAATCCTATTAAAATGGAATGTTCAAACAATGACGTTTTTGCCATTGTATCATTATGGTGTCAAGTATTGTAATACTACACTTGGTATTGGTATCAAAGTCAAAACTCTGGTATCATGAGCACTCTATTAGTCAGATAGTCTTAAAAACAAAAGTGTTTTCATACTTAGGAACCTTGTTTTATGAACAAGAAAGCACAATTAAGAAATTATAATCAAGGAATTCATTTGTTCATTTTGTAAAACTGCACCAGAAAATGTTTACCTATTTTTTCATCCTCCTGCACCATCTTGCGCTCTTCGTGAAAAGCCCTGAGCCAGCGAATCTTCTCCTCTAGTTTTTTGGCTAGGAAGATGTGGATCTCCTCCGTGTCCTTGTTGTGCAGTTTAAATGCATTCTTGACGCTGACGTTAAAGTCGTCATCCCGTCCATCGATTGCATCTCTCACTTCATACCTGTCCATGTCAATGCGGCCTTTGTAGTAAAGGATGTCGCGTCGTATGAGGTCCTGTGTATGGGGAGACGTCAAACATATTAGCCTCAGCCCAGCCCAGCAGCTTTACAGGCTCAGTGAATCATGGCACAACTCACTGTACATCTCGAAACTCCCTCTAGAGCATTACACAATTGCTTTTGCTACCTCCTTTATTCCTGAACTGGAATGAACATGTTAGAAAAAGTAATACCAAAGCTTGGGTGCGGCATCTTGTCTTAAAATCTTAGAAACCACAGGTATCATCAATGATAAGAATCCCTTTCAGAAGTGGAACAAGCAAAGAAATCAGAAACTTTCAACCGATAACATATTTGTGTTCATAAGTAGAAAGGAAATATTTTGCTATGGCATTATTTATATTTATGTTTGAATTTGATGAAATGTGATTGTTGGGACACAGTCTCAAAGCAAATGGAAGTACAGACTTGAACTTCTCATTACAGAATGTAAATACAGAAAGTAATTTCTTAATCTACTCTTTAATTAAATATGTAATTACATAATTATATTTGAATAGTACAGCAAAACAACTAGACTCTCAACTACTAAGGGTTAAATCCACTAAAACTTCCAGAACAGCAAGTACACAAGGAATTAACCAAAACTGAGATATTTCCTAGAATAACAAAAGCAACTCACATGTTAACCTGCAAAGGAATTTACCATTACTAAATGAGGACCTATATTCTGAAATGAGTCAAGTGCTAATTTAATTAACTGATTTTAACTAATTTACATCCTCATTGTATTTCTAACACTTTATATTTCAGGTCCCAGTCTCCGCCTGCCTCCTCTCTCCCTTGCTCAGAGTTGCCTGCCTACCGATCACCGGCACCCTCTCCTCATTTCCCATGTGCTGTTTACCCCCCTGTACTCCCAACATTTTTTTACGAAGTCTCTTGCTTTGTAGTTGAGTTCTAAGCTTCATATTTCTATTAGATTGATTGTTCATTGCCATAATTTTCTGGTCCTTGGACTTTGCACTGGTTTTTTGACTTTGGATCCTGTCTTTCCCCTTTTTCCTTGTTTACACTAGCATCCAGTCTCCAAGCCTGATTGTGACATTATAGTAAAAGGCCCCTATAAATAGCAACTTAAATCATCTAATAGTTTGTTACTGATAATAATAGTTAATAATTATATAATTGTTACTTGTGCATTAGTAAGTGCTACCATCTGAATTACTGACCATTTACTTTGTGACATACAAATAATTAAAGCATTGTTTTTCATAAATGTATTATATAGGGACATGCATTTTGGCTAATTCTTTTGACTGATAGCAGACCATTATTGGTCAGGGATTAATCTTTAAGCGACAACAGTCAGCCCCCCATAGAAATACAGTAAATACATACTTAATCATTTAAAACATGATGTAGACAATTTATTCATAATTATTATAAAATGATTTATGCAAAAAAGTAAATGCTTAATATTTCAATTTCAAGCACTAAGTCATTGTTAACAAACTATAATTAATAATTAGATTTCTTCAGCTCAAAATAATTAAAGATCATTCTAATGTCCATACGTAAATGGTTAATAATTGAATTAGTACCATTTATTAATGCATATGTAAGTATAAAATAATAAGTAACGGTCATTAGCAAACTATTACATAATTATTAGGTTGCTGTTTGTTATGATGTATTTTTCATTAGTCTAAGTAGACTTGTTCAATATACTAAAACATACATTTTTATCATGGTTAAAGATAGGGCATTGATTGGGGGATCAAGCCCTACATTCATACAAAAGTTCACCTTCTTCTCAGAGTCTATTTTTCTGACAGCTCCTCCTTTAGGCATTCCTCAAATGTGCCCATCTGTGGTACAGCCCACTTGCACCAGCCCCACTGAGGAGATGATACATTTGGAAGAAGCATTTTTTTGCCAGCTGAGGCATCCTTTGATGTTAGAAGGCTGATGGAAAATGTAGTCTCTGTTACTCCAGCATAATAGAGAATACTTGATATTCTCCTCTCATTCTTATTGGAACACAGTTGTATAGATAGTGTGAAGAAGCAATAATTACCTCACTTGTCATTTCACTTGTCACAGGCAAGTCTCATTTGTCTAGTGTTTGACAGGTTGAGCTGAATATTAAAAGGCTGCATTTATCCCATGGCTTGACTGCGAAATTAAAATGCTTGTTTTTTCAAAAGTAATTTAAGTCAACAGCGAAACATTCTAGCTGTAAAAACAACAGGTATGATACAAGATGAATATCAAACATGTCCACATTTCACAATTGCCTTCCATGGTTTACAATAGGAAGAGCTGCATTTGTGAAATGTGTGCATGACGGTGCATGTGTGCATTGTCAAAACTGATCAAGTAGGATGAACTCCAGACCAGGAGTTACACTGCTGCATTAAAAAAAAGTAAACAGACAAAACAGCAATCCAGTCACTAATTTAAAAGCATATTACTACTGGCTAATTTAGCACATAATTCCAGTTAACCCCTGTCTTTATATTAAGTGAGCCAACTCTTTCTTCTAAATTCTTTTTCATCTTTTCCATTGCTTACTCTATACGCTATAGTATAGAGTAAACAATGGAACGCTATAGTCGCTGGCCAACTAGTCATAAAATGAAAGCTAGAGAAAGATTTAGTGTTAAATTTGACATAATCTTAAGAGCTAATGTGCAACAAACTAACTTAAAAATCACATATTAAATAATATAATACTGAATAACCCAATAATCTTTTGAAAACTACTTAATTTTCATTTTGCTATTTTAATAATTGTTACTGCAAACATGCGCATTCGGTGCTCCCTCTGGTGTGGGTTCATGGCAACTTTGAAAAGTAAAACAGTAAAAGTGAATAAAATATGATGTGTACTCACAACCCCAATTCCAAAATGTTGCTGCCATCAAGTTCTAAATGAGTTAATGTTGAAATGATAAAATGTCTCACTTTCAAAATTTGATATGTGTTCTATGTTCTATTGTGAATAAATTATGGGTCTATGAGATTTATTATTTACCAAGCTGTTTAAAGGTAAATTAGTCCTTTTTAGTTATCTGTCAGTCCCAACATGCCAATTATCGCTTGTAAGAATCAGGTTACACTGACTGACCTGCTTGAATGACTATAGCGAATGAAAATAAACTTTGTGATGTTTACAGTTTGTGTGTTCTCCTGTTTATATGTGTGTGAGTATGTTGTAAGCTTCTAGTGAAAAGTCCAAAACCATACTGACCCACAAGCAATTCTCTTGACATTCCTGGAGTACTTTGATAGCTTGATTTTGTGGCATGACATTTTTTAGATATCATATTTTCTTAAATTTGTAAAAAAAAGTTGCTAACAGCAGCTTGAATGAAACCAATCATATTCTATGACTCATAGTTACTCATAGTTTTTCATCTTGACATGTAGCACAGTTCTTGTGCAACAGACACTTCAGAACTAGCAGTAAATAATGAGCATGGATTTATGCAAAATGATGATTCAGAAACGTGCACATTGATATTCCTCAACACAGCAGATAGTCATATGAAACAGTGAAATACAAAGTCTTGTTGAGTCACCTGGAAGCGTGTTTATGTGCAAATTTACTCATTTAGGAACGTTTTATGAGCTACAAATATCCTGATTACATCTGGCATTAAAATGTGTTCCCGTATCTGGATTTTGTTCACACAAAACACAAATGCAATCGCAGTTGTATGTTCGTGATGGGAATACATTTGGATCTAGATGGCCTGATTCAGAGAAAGTCGAGTACGCATTGTGATAACTTCATAAATATTGCATGTTCCACCCACACCTAAAGTCTAAATCTTGTGTGTTCCACCCACAACTTTCAATATTGTTTCTGCCACTCATTAAACAAGGTATTTTTAGGCATCTGCATGTGTATTCAAACATGAGCTTACCAATGCAAAAACTGAAAGCCAACTGCCCCCTGTGAAAAACCACAGATGATTCTCCCACCACTCCTGGCTGCAATTTTAACCCATGTTTTTCTTTCAAATATGGTTAAGCAAAACTTTCCTAACTTGCTTTCTCTTCTAACACAAAATGGCTGCACCAAGAATGCAAAGTTTTTTTAAAGGAAGCACAGCATAGCCTATACAGAGCAATGCCTACTGTGCTTCTGCGTCACACCAGCCTAATTTAAAATGTAAATTTTGCGGCTGGAAATGAGATCCAATCAATATCTGGATGCAGGAACTATGTTTGAAAAGGGCAACTGTAAATGTGCCATGTCTTGAATGGATAACGATCCTATCACCACTAACGGATCACAGTGACCGTATATTAGTGCCAAGTGTAAACGGGGCATAACGGTTCACTTTATTGAAGCACATTATGAATCTTCAAACGCTTCATAAATGAACACAAAACAACTTAAGCCAAGTGTCTTGTAAAAGTGTATGCATATGTCCGCAGGGCTAAAGACAAGTATTTATAAGCCACTGATTAGTAGAAAAGGAAGGAAAAGCACATGCGTTTCCGTCAAGCCCAGGAGACTATCATTACACATATTGAGCCTTCTGTCCTAATAAAAAACACAGAACAAAGCCTTCTGCTACATAATTAACCATGTCCTAAAGACACTTCCAAGTAAACAGCAGTTGCTGTTAATATTAAAGTGGGCCGTGTTTTCCCTGATGGAAGGATAGTCATCCATTGGAGATGATAGGAGGATTACGAAAGGCTATTTGTGAGGATGCAGAACCGTGTGGTAAACCATATTTCTGGCCAGAGATCAATTTGTGCATCTAATTAGGGCTAGCTAGTGGAAGCTTCCACTCATTAAGCTTCGGCATCTCATTTTGCAGGTATGGTATTGAATAATAAAAATACTCAGAGTGTTAACATATTACTGAGGTTTACAAACGCTGGGAAAATCCTGGCCCATCTTAGTTACACTGATGGCGCATTATGCATCTTTTTCAGTCAAATTCACCCCATTATGACCGTAGATTAACCACAAAACAAGTATTACATTAACTTTAAGGCATACCGAGTAGCTTTTTGCTTAGTATACACACAGGTCCACTGAGCACAGGCTGCCACAACATCTGAATAGGAGGTAGGGAAGCAACATTGATAATTTTTATACAAGCAATCTACACAGTTCTATTACATATGAAAACATGCACGTTGTTTTAAACCCTTGCCATTTATGAACAATTCAGTCAAAACTGCTGTAGGTGAAAATGTTACAACAAGCAGTCAGTAAAAATATGGTACATGTCTACAATTACAATTCAATACATTTCTTTTTTGTTTGATAAAATAATAAAATTGCAATGTATATGACATTAATTTCTGATGAATCTGTGGATAAAAAGTTTACTTTGGGTTGCTCCCTTGCAACACAATGTAAAACAGTGATAAAACTAACCCTGCCATGTGGAGGCTGTACTTTAGCCTGGCTAGCTCTAATTGTCAGCTGTTTATATGCTTCAAAATGGTGCTATGTAACAGCCATCAAGAGGGTATTTAAAATAATGTAGGCATGAATTCTGTACACACAAGTCAGTCCTTGTACACTTAAAAAAAGTTACTTTCACAATACAAATACAGTCTTCAGCATGAATCTCACGAAATATCTTTCACATACTTGTCAGAATTAGCAGATAATAGTGCTATGTGAACACAAAAAACAACTAAAAGCATATTCTACCTGAAATTGGTTAACTACATCAAAATTGTGTTACATTTTACCCCACGTTTTTCATCTTTGCTCACCATGCATTTGCCTTACCTTATACCCATTACTGCTTGTTCAGCCTACGCACTCATGTACAATCAACACATAATAACTGACCTATAATTGACCTAATCACGCTTCACCCACAAGTGAGTTCTTTCAGTACAAGGTAGGAGAAGCTTTTCAGAATGCTGGCAAAAATCTTTTTCAACCTAATGAAAAACTGTAGTGCACAGCTTTTTTTATCAAAATACCGGCGTTTAGATTGTGTTCATTTCAAATCACATTTATTTCTTATACATATGATTAAACTAGTAATTTTTCTTTTTTTCCTGTACTCAAACATTAGCATGGCAGCAAACTCATCAGATGCTTCAAAACTGCCTGCTTCATATTAGCAGCAACAACACAGACCACTTTACTTATTGTACTAAGACATATTTTTTTAAATAGGCAATTATTAGGTGCGTTACCTTTTTACACAAAACCAACTGGTGGTCGAAGAGGAAGAATACTCGTTGCTGACTCCTCCCATAAGGTTGGTAGATCCAGGACAATTCCCCTGTGTAGATGAGTTCTGAGCTTCTATCCAAAATGTCATCACCCTGCATGGAAAAATGACACTTCAGAGCATGCACAATGAATCCACTACATCACTGACTTCATGGTATATAGATTAAATATGACAGCATAAAATAGGACTATGTTCTATTTCAAGTCCAAATTAGACTCTTCAAAGCTTAGCTCTCATTTTTTTTTACTATCATGTAACATTATGCATATTGCTTTGCTATAAATGGTGAATACAATGTCCTCCCTTCCAATGCAAAAAATAAAGAAAGAAAGAAAGAAAGAAAGAAAGAAAGAAAGAAAAAAAAGCAAACATCATCAGCTACATTCAAAAATCCAAATGTCATCAACAAAACAGTTGACAGAGGTAATGACAGGGCTGGTTTTGGAGATGGACTGGTGGCACTCTCTCCAGTGTACGGCATGTCCCAGACAGCCACCGATGACAGGCCTTCAGTCCTCTGAGAGGTAATAAGATTAGATCTGAAAGGTGTGACAAGCTCTTTAGACATGAGAGCTGCCACACTTGGTTCTGCTTGGACCACTCTGCCATGAGAGGGGAATTCAATTATTACACTGACACTGATGATGCATTCTCAAGACTGGTTGGAGTATGGTGGTAAAAATAGACTTGCCATCCATACAGGTGTGAGACATCTGACTAGACTGACAGCTGATTTAAATTCATCACCTCGTGGCCCTGTGCATGAGAAATCAACTCGTATGAAATGATTGGTAGGAGCTCTTTGAGATGCGTTGCCATAAAAATGTTAGCGTGTTATATAGTGAAATACAGTACTGTACAGAAGTCAGAGATCACGGCTCCTTTATTTAATTTCCAGTAAAAACGGCCATTAAGTACAAATCATCTGCTTGTACAAGGAAAAAGGAATTTCAAAGAGAATAAATGAAAAAAAAGTAAAAAAACTTTTAAAAAGACTAAAAGACATAGAGAACTCCTAACACTCCTAACAACCTAGCAAGACCTGGTGAACCACGAAAACTGTCACAGTACTTTAAGCCTTCATCTTTGAAAGATAGTAGAAGGTCAATGTCCACTTCGTGCTTAGATCTGAAAGGATCTGAAGCCATTACTACGAAAAGGAAACAGACAAAAAAAGACCATCTGCAAATCAAACAAAGAAGCTGTTGCTCTAAGAATTATGAACTGGCCACCCCAGAGCCCAGACCTCAACATCATTAGATGTGTTTTGGAGTACCTGGATCGAGAGAAGCAGAAAATGCAATCAATTTCAAAGACTGAACTTTGAAGGTGTCAAATTTCTTTGAAAAACTGAGATAAATTATAAAATCAAATCATAAATCAAATAAAAGTCTCCCAAAAATGAAGGCTGTAATAAAGCCAATCAATTGTATTTACTTGCTGAGTCTTCTGTGTATTTTTTGTTAGATATATGTTTTTTTGCTTTTTTTTCTGGCACTGAAAAATGAGTACTTTGTACTTAATGGCCATTCTGAATGGAAGTTAAATAAATGAAAGGTGGTCTCTGACTTTTGCACAATACTGTAAAAAGCCAGAACAGAAAAACTCTTAGAGTTCAAGCACTTCTGGGGGAAAATGTGGCACTAGACAATGACACAGACTAACAAAAATTTCACATAGATACATATTAAGGTTTCATGACCTACTACTGTTCAATGACTAAAAGATTTTAACAGGTATGATAGTCATATAGTCCAGTTAAAACATGGATTAGGAAATATTAGCATTTCTGAGATGTTCCTGACACTGTTATGGACACCAGATTTGGGATCTCTACAATCAGTATATTCAGAAAACTAATTATGCTCAAAATATCTGCTTTGACTTTCTATGACTCAAATCAGGATTTACTTTATAGTTAACTGCATAAAAACACATCAATGCCAACTTTCTACATACAAAAAATGGACTACTGCGGAAAAGAAACTATAAACTCTGAAATGTATTGTATTGAGCATATTAGAATGTTTTGTCATCAATAAATTCAAGAAGCCATTGTTTCTTCTATCACTCTGCTAAGAGGAACATGTTCATACTACTTCTAAGTCTACTAAGTCAAAAAATTATTGCTCAGATCATTCTGTATGATGTTTCAGTGACTTTCCCAAACTGACCTCCCAGTCCAGCACAGATGCCTGCCACTGAGCGATTTTATCTATGTTCTCCAGTCTTCTCTTGCGCTCGTTGATCTGTTGGGTGACGTTCCTCATGACAGCCAGTGCTGCAGCCACATAGCGGTAGTCACTGAGGAAGGAGCCAGGCAAAAATGCGATTACTGTCATTTCAGTGCTGCTACAAAGTCCTCGATTTTGCAATGTATATACTTGATTCAAATGTGTACATTATTTCCACATTAACAAAATGTATTATATCAACCCCTTTGGCATTAACTACATACAATATATACAATATACTTTTGTGGAAATAACGTACACCATTGAATCAAGCAAATTCACAGTGAACCACATGGTTGTAAGTACATGTATAAAACAAGACTGACTATAATATCCCAAATAGGGATTTCTTACAGATACATGAATGCACATATTTCATTAATTTAACAATTTAATAAACAGTGAATAAATGTTTTCTAACACACTGATGACAATCTTCATAGTTGCTTCATTCCATTCACTGATGCATTACTATAATGTTAGCTACAGCAATGTCAAATCTCCTGTATGTGCTGTCTATAGAAGTCAAAAATCGCATTTCATGCAGAGAAAAGTCTTTCTCAAAGCAGTCATAGGCACATCCAGGACAAAAGAGCATCAAACATTAGCCAGAATATATCTGCTGCCCACTGCCAGTGGTGTGCCAGTCCCTCAGCCAAGCATCATGCAGGGAGTCGTGGGTGAGCCATTTGAGCTTTCTTGGCAGGGCCATTTGTTTGGCTCAGGCTGCACTGCTTATAAATAACACTGGCTCAAGATCAGATGCTGGCTGCCGAACTTCGCACCAGTAATTGACAATGAGTGAGGACAGCTCCTTGTCTATTGTTCCATTGTTCTGTGCCGGCAACACACAGAAAAGAGCGGCTACCAGAGGAAGGTGGGTTAGTGGACCACTGGGTGTCTGTTTACAATACCTTCAGTCTGATATCACCAAATACTAAATATAATGATGAATCCAGCCAGGAGGAGTGCTTAAATTGGCCATTGTTATCTTCTCCCTTTGTTTTCAGGTTCAAAAGAAAAAGCCCCTATAGACAAACCCAGACGCTGCTACCCATACGTTACGAGCGCTATAATGCAAAGTTCTGGTGACTCGTTGCATATGTAGATGTCAAAGACAAAAGGACGTTATGAGAGAGGCTTTAACGTCTCGTTAGATGTTTACCCTTTGTTGAACCACAAAGCTGTTCACATTTGATTAGAAATGACACCCGGAAATTGAGCTAGATAAGAATTAATTGGAAGGCATCTTCTGTATAGAGCTGGTCGGGGCCGAGCTTTCGTTCCTTTGAGCTTTGGTGAAAGTCTGACATATCAGTAATTAAATCAGAAGAAGCATAATGAATGAGAGCCACGTCACAGTTTTGTCACCCCAGCACAGCAAAAGTAATCTTGTGGCCTGTTCTAAGTAGATGTATGTAGTATAGATATGTATATAGGTACGCAGGTATATAAAATGACATGTAAATAAACAGTTATTAAGGTAATAATTAAACCTCTACATAATGTATATATAAAACTTCAAATACTATGATAAAAAATTTTAATTAAAATTATTCACTTTATAACTTCAGATTTCGACTAGTTTGTAGTAAGCTGTAAAAAAATGTGAAATTTTAGATCCATTATGAATAGAGATATAGATGATTTCATAATGACTGGGAAAGCTGTATAACACTGAGAATTAAGTTATAATACAATAAATATCCAGAATGTCTCATATTTGAAAGGTGTGGATCAAATCTCAATCAGATAACGCATCATAAAAATAGATCATTACAGTCTATTATTTATCATATAGTAACCTCTTGGTGTTCCCAAAAAACTGAGTAGGTATTTGAAGAATAAAACATCTTCAAATACCTACTAGTGTCTAGCTTACATCTTATATTATAACCTACACTGTTGTGACTGAACAAAACACCAGCAATTATTAAGATCACATGCAATTCCAAACTTCTGCAAGTTAGTATACATAGAAAATTCGAAAACACCAGCTAGCCTTTATATTGCATGATAAGTTCTTGTTGAATGATTAAAACTCATTACTTTATAAAAAATTACAACATTAATGTAATATCCATTGGTGTAAAGGTTTTAAAGGACTAAGAATATTTATATATATGCCATCTTAACAAGTAGCTCCATTTACATCATTTGAGCACAGCAGCTGCCCTTTACATTGTGTGAAAATTTAGCTTAGAATAAAATCTCTGTACATTAACTAACATCACCTAACTTCTTACATTAACTTACTTAACTTACATCTCCTGTAAAGCTTCTATTTTGGAGATACTTGTTGTTTTTTGGACAGTGATGATATACAGCATATAGTACTTTTTAAGTAAATGTAAAGTAAAAAAAAAAATTCCATAACTTGTTTTTTACTAATGTATTAATGTATGTGTGCATTACCTGTGCTCCTGTGCTGTGTATTTAAGAAGCTCAGCTAGCTGCAGTGGGTATTTGCAAATCTTCTGCACAGGAGTGAGCAGGAAGCCATCGATTGCAATGTCAATCATCTGCTGAAGGAGACGGCACGCCTCGAAGAAGTGCTGGTAACGTCCGTCCTTCATCAGCTTGGACAGCTCCATGCATGCGTCCAGATGGTTGTTGCAGTATTCAGAGTAGATCCAGAAGCCGTCTTGCTGTGAGGCAGACAGCGAATACACAAGCTGATCAAAACTGAATTAGAGCTACACCCCAAGTATCATTAGCAACTATGGTTTACCTGTTCAACTGCTATGCAACTAGGACTGGGATGTAAAAGAAACATTAAAACACTGGAATTAATAAGAAAAATATAAAAAAAAATGGAAAAACTCAAACTTCTATCTAATTAACTAGCATAACCTTTTATCTATCTACTTAGTTTGCTTCCAAGAGTCTTAAATGGTAACTGGATGGACTTGTACAGTAAAATTTATAATTTATACATTTATTTCAAGGAAATGTTTGCAAGGTCATTCAATTATTTTAGTCAGGACTGTTAAACAGTAGTATTTCAATACTAGCTCATATTTGTCCCGAAAATATTCCACTCTAACTAACAGAGACACTTGTTGAAACGCTTGGCAGAGCGAATCAGACAGAGAACTGTACTGCAGCAAAACAGATATGGGAGAAGATGTGCTTCTGAAGTATATCATTTGCATTCAGGTCCCCAAAGGAAACGAGGCACCTTGTATTTGAATAATGCTTCTGCTCCAAACGAAGAGGGATATCACTGCAGTGATGCATTGAGTTCAGGCAGTGCTAGTGCCTGGAATTCAACGCTACATAAACTTGAATCCTATTCCAAAAAAGCAGAACCATTTTTCACATCACTGTCTTACTGCAATCTGGGATTAACAGCCCATAGCCGAAGGGCAATGGTTTTGGCAGTCCTCCAGGACAAGCCTAAGCTCAGTGATGCCATCCATGTGCAAAAATATTTGCAACATCCTGGTACCAATGTGGGGGTCACTAAATACCTTCCCTATGACCATCTTTACCCTGCTGCAATTCAGATGTCTTTAAAGAGCCATCTTCTAGATTTTTGTATTCTTGTATTTTATTTTTCCTCCCTGAGCTACACTTTGTGTGGGTTTATGTAGCAAAAACAGTCAATTTATTTTAACACAACCAGTCTCCAATTTTTTTATCCCTTAGAACAGTGGTCAGGGCCCCCAGCTGGTTCACATGTTGTAACCTAGCTCTCAACACATCTATACCACGTATTCAGTGTTCTTAGTACATGTTAGAAACAAAAATGTTGAGGGTCTGCTTTAGAATAATCTGGATGTTTTTTGTTACTGTGTCTTTAAGATATGTAAAATGACTCTTCTGATTGGCTGCACTATACTGGGCCTTAAAAAAGCAGCCCAGCCCTGAAACATTCCTTAAACCTTAAGTGTGAATGGTTGGGGATAAAGTGCTGTAGGCTGACTAGGGAGAATTTTTTTTAAATCAGAAAAACAAGGAATTCAAAAAATTCAGATTTACAAATATTGAATGAATAGACTGTTTTTATAACGTCAATCTCATTCATTTTAAAAAAAAAAAGCAATTCATGTGATAATAACAAAAAGTCATATCTTCCAACAATTACTGTAAATTGCTTCGAGCTAAACACACTAACCCTTAGCAGCACATGTAAATGCTTTATTCATGTGTTCATACATTATTAATCAATTGCATTAAAGCAGTCAGTGTCAGTATCTAGGTAGGTATTAAGTTACTTACATGTTCCAGGAAGCATGGTCCTATTTCACTGAGATGGGGCTCCTCTGTGTTGTACTGCTTTTCCAAATCTCGAACAAATCCCATCTGAAATCTGTAGATGTCCTCAATATTCCCAAAAATGACCTTCAGCTGGTCATCGTTGAACATGTCGATCCTCTTTCTGCATTGTCTCAAGTAACCCTGTGAAGGAGAAAAATACTCTGCCTTGTAAACCCAGGCTTGTCATGAATAAGCTGGATGAGTCTACTGCAGTAAAGATCTTCATTCAACAAAGAGAAATATTTGACAGAGAAAAAAAATCCCCTATTGCCATTAGCATGCCATATTTGTACGGTGCTATTTAAATATCAGCAGCATCTAGCACATGGCCACTGTTTGTACAACAACAAGGGGGAAAAATGCCTCTGACTCTGAGCAGCCCAGACTATTGATTTGCTGATATGAATCAGAATCATTTGGACGGGTCAGAGCAGACTTTTTTTGAATATGTCTGTGATCTCAGCCTGGGAAACATGTATATGAAAGTGCTGCTGACCAGCCTGCTGGCTGTTTTATCCCTAGCCAGCTAAAAAGCCAAACACAGACACATGGGGTCAAGAATAAGCCATCTGAGTCAAGACAGTTTTTTTGTTTTTCCCTCCAATGTTCATGCCAGCGTGCTAGCTAATAGACTTTCCATGTTGCAGAAGTTGACAGACAAAGGTCATGTTTGCAATGCGCCTTCTGCCAGAGCCAATGGGAACATTGTAAACATTCTTCAGACAATCTTTAGTGAAGATTACAATATCCAGCACTCAGCACCTCAGTCCTAGTTTGATGACATCATTTCGGAGTAGGAGGTACAGTGTACACTGACAGCGCTACCGAAAAACCTACCATAGGGGAGAAACATTACATCTATGACATACGCATAACGAAATCTTCTTCTGTTTGTTATGGGAAAACTAGCTACCTGTGGTATTCGTGCACTTCTTTTTTAGCTTTGCTAATATCACTATTTCCAGTGCACTTCGCCTGTTGAAGTCATACAAGTGTTTAATGGAATGTAGCAACATATAGTGAGTGTAGAAAGTCTAGCAGTGTTGAATGGGAAAATTTAGACTGTATTCAAATTCAGGCTCGATTTTTTTTCTTTTTTTTGTCTCTGATTTGTCTTGGGCTACAGTTTTTGTAGTTGTCTTGGTCTTGGCCATCAGTCTTGCTATACTTAGCCTCTGGTCTCAACCGAGACTGAGACAAGCTATTGTTTAGAAAAAAAAAGATAATTTTTGTATGTTCTTTCTTCTGTCACCAGCACACACTGCCTTCTGCTCAAGCAACTCAAATCCAAATCACTGCGTCTCTTTGCGTCAGATTTATTCAGAGCTGGAATTGATCACAGAGAAACTCAGAGTGCTAATGCATAATCAGACAATCTGAAAAATTAGGAGAATTTGCCCAGATATGTCTACATTTACAAATGGAATGTTCAGGCCATATTGTATATTCTCAGTCCACACTACATTTGTGTTTGTAAGTGGCAGAGAAGATATTTCAGTAATTTTTCAACTTGATGAAGAGTAATAGGCATGCATACAGTTTTGTTTTCGAGGAAAGAAACTCTTTTTGCCACATTGTGTCAGTTCCTGACATCAAAACAGAAAGTCAAAAAATCAAAAGTGCAGACTCAAGCCAGTCAAAACAGAATATAAACTAATTGCAGATTCTTTATATTAATTGATTGTGTAATTATATTATTTCATTTAAATAGTATAGCAAAATGCGAATAAGAATAAAACTTATATTAGTTACATTGTCCAAAGTGAATCTGCAAGGGTATTTAGGAGCCTCCCGTTTATTTGGATTTGGTCTTGACTAGTAATATTCTTGGACGTGACAAAGATGGCCCTATCTAGAAGGCCTCGCAGCGTTCAATGGCATTTGACAATATACACTGAAGGCCAGTGATTGATGGCATTTCACTGTCTTCTTCCTCCCTAACAGGATTGGTTTCATGCTGTTGTCCAGTATTAAGCTTTCAAAGATAATGGTTTTCTCTTTACTTTTAGGATTTTACTGTCTACTGGCATGACTTCAGAAAAGAATCCTCCACATGTCAATGCAGTAGGGCTGAACAATTTTGGGAAAATATCTAATTGCATTTTTTGGACAATTTGGGGAAAATATCTAATTACACTGATTTTTGGACTGATATTGTGACTGTGATTTAATTGGGATTATTTTTTATAAAATAAAGTTCAGGCCAGAATATAAACGTTTTTCTGGCTTGAAGCTTGACCCCTGAATGTAGTGTGCCAGACTACCAGTAGTTATGGTTGTGATGGAGGTTTGGCTGCCTCTGATTGGTCCAACTTATCTATAGGCAGTTCACAAGCTTGGTGTTATTAGATTAAATTCCTCCACTTAACAACAAGACAACATTTTTGATAATGTAGGCTATAATTTAAAAAAATTGCAGCTTTTGCAACTTGAAAATTGCACTTTCATAACTTGCGATTTCGATATAAAACAATTAATCTTTCAGCCCTACAATTCAATATACCCAATCAGTTTCCCTAGTACTTGCAGTGACCTCTGAATACCTGTCAGATTTGAATGTGAGAAATCAGCATAGACAATTATAAGTAATCACTTTTGTTTTGCTATTCTGTTCAAAACATAATTACTTTATTATCTATCTCTTATCAAGAAATGATAAAAATATGGCAATGTTCTTTCCGCAAAACGCCACACAACAGCAACTGTCAACCACAACAAATCATAATATTTCTCTTCTTCTACTTAGAAACAACAGAATGTTTCCAAAATGAGCTACAAGTAAAAAATAGAAATAATTAATATTCAGTTAAACTTATTTTTTAATTGCCTCTGATAACTGTGACATTGTAAATGGGTCCATATCTTCTACATCCTCATGATGCTAGAGCATAGCAATTGTTACACTCTGTCATATGCAAGTGCCACAATTTACAGTATATTCGGAAAGCATCTTTCAAGTCTTCCTATCAAACACAATGATATTGACTTTTAAGCAGTTGTCATATTAGCCATTTAGGGAGAGTGGTCCTGCATGATCAGCAATACCTCACAAATGTCCTTCAGGTGTTTGATGTAATGGCGTTCGGTGCTCATAATCTCATTGATGACGTTGGCCCTCATCTGGTCCCTGTTTTGCAGAGGCTGGCCCAGGCAGAGGCAGTCGTTGCCTGGGTCAAGGTGGCCATTCTGGACCTCACTAGTGCCCTCAGCTGGCTCAACAGCACGATCCTCCTGGTTCACCCACAGCTATGAGGAGAGGTGTCAAAACTCTTATTATGGTCATAGATGTGGACATATGACTCTTTTCTATGTTGTTTGAAACTGGGAAAAGAACAGGTTGTCCACTTAGTCTGTTGTTTATGGTGGCCTGAGGCCCCAAGTAGTCAAGGCCACACAGCAATGAATACATGAACTACATATAATCGTGTTTTAACATTTGTTTAAGAGATTTACTTTTAGATAAGATACAGATAAATGTTAAAATATGGTATACACTGTTCCAAGGCATTTATATGTTGACAGCAGCACTGTTTTTCTTGGCTGTGGAGTGCGTTCTCATCCTCAAATGCTTCAATATCAAACAACAACTCAGCAAGGATGTCTGAGTGCCTAAAAAATATTCCCTGCTCATATCACTGATGCAGCAGGGTTCCACTGCTCCAAAATTACACCCCCAACCAGCAAATTAACTCGGTGTGACAACAAAGAGCATCTTAAATCACGGGCATCCACTGAATTATGAAGCTTAGCATTTGGCTAGTGACATGTCGAAATTCTAAAAGCTACAATGCAAACAGAAAAAAATGGGATGTTGTCTCACAAAAACAAGCAAAGAGAGGAGCAGTATCAGATAGAACGTGAAGCAGCTCACTACAGAGATTGCTACTAAGCGCTTACATGAAGCCTGCAGTCCCATGAGTCATACTAACTACATTAAATGATGCATCCAAAATAGGCACATCACAGAATGGATACATATACTGAATGTTATTCCATTCAGAATAAAGTCTACAAGCTCTAACATGAAGAACACTAAGAGCATGATCTCGGTCTGACGTGCTTTGATGCTCGTGAGGTGCCTGCGTTTGACAAACTCGGCGGCACTTGATGAAACGGATGAGCCAGGAAACGCACCTTTGCTGTTGTATTTTGGAACCTTGGAGTTGCTATAGGGTTGATATAGAAAACCTGTTTTGTTTGGGGTTGAGGAGGGTGGGGTTCAACCTTGAGAAAGAATGACAAAAATACAGTTTGGTTCAATTTGATCTTGTAGGAATGGAGAATGGGAAATGGAGATGGAAATGGGTTGGAAGCTGTGCTAGTAAATAGTTTTCACCTTCTGTTATTGTCCAAATCACAGCTAAAAATTTGCATCACATTAAGGGTCAAAACTTGTCACTGCCTTACCGTCAAACGGCCTGAGTTATGAAAACGATTAGTGTGGATGATCGATGGCATTGAGAATCAATAACGTTTTAGAAGCGTGTATTGATCAAAAACATGGATGAAGGCCAGGCTTACCCGCACAAAGCTGGCTGGGAACCATCCCTCCTCATCATCAATTTGGCCCCACCACCAGTCCTTGTTGGAGGCATCCAGGACCTTGATGACGTCCCCTGCCTTAAACGCCAACTCGCGGTCGGCCATGGTCACATGATCCCATACTGCCTCTGCGCTGACAATTGAACCTCCGCTGATCAGCTGTAGAGAAACAAATCAAAGTCTGAGTAATTCAACTAGAAGAAGACATAATATTTTGGGAACTTGCTAAAGTAAGGTGTAGGCCTATCATGATCATGAAATTTTGTCTAACAATTAATCGCTATATAATAACTGCAATTAACAATTTGTCTTTTTTGCTCATTATATGCAACTATTAAATATACAAGCCTAAAGTGGCCAACTGACGACAGACACAGTTCGAGCTCAAATGAACAAACATTACTCACTGATGCCCCCTAAAAGTGTTATGGCCTCAGAGTCAGTTAAAACTTTTGTTTTTCTGCTTTCTTAAATTTAAAAATTACTGTGAAAGCTAACTGGGGTCAGCTTAACCCTCTGGGGTCTAATGTCATTTTCTTGATTTTTGCATATCTTCTTAAATTTGCCTTTAAAGGGCAATTGCATATAACATGATGCCCGTATATTCCATGTCAGAATGCTCCATTATCTCCCTCGCTACTTTCCAACAACTCCAGCAACTATAAACTTTTTGCACACCATTTCACATGTGTCTCCGGTGTCAACTGAATAAAGTATGAAGGGTTTCCAACATGATGGGTAAGTCTTTACACATAATGTAGATGGATACACGAATCAACCTGTTACACACGGTGAGAGGGAGATGACGCATATCTCAACTCCTCTTCATAGCTTCATAACTCTGGATGTGATTCACGTACGATCTCACCATAAGATGGAATGGAACGAGCATCTCTACAGATTCAGGAAAACTATATTTCTACTCTGTGTTATCACAAAGACAGAAAAACATTCAAAGTAAAAGTTAAATAATTGCAATCAGCTGAAATATCTGCGATCAAGCGTGTTTTTTTATAACTGTGACAGCCCTAACCTTGAATCTTTCTAGAATTGGCCTTTATATGGCAAATTTTTTGGTCAAATGTCCCTTTTAGCAATGACAACTGCTTCAACACTGCAAAAGAGACACAAGGTCATTCTGTCCTGGTCCGGAAAACTAGGGTGCATCAAACAAGGCCTCATTCTAAACTTTTTTTTAATACATCTCATGAGGTATAACTGAACTGCAATCACCAGTATTACTCATTTTGTTAATGAATGGCATAACTGATCCTGCCCTCAAATAGGTTAGCTTAAATTCTAATTTCACATGATGCAATCAGATGAGGTAAAATCACAAGAAAGCTTGCTGGGAGTACAAAAGAATCTGCCCACAACATGTTCCTGTGTTCTTGCAATAATTAAGAGAGGTACTGGGTTTGCTTATTAGTTATACATGCAATAAGTCTATTTGTATTCTTGGGAGGCAACTGGCGGACTAAAGGCCAATCTCATTAAGACTTAGGAGATAGTATTAGCAAGCGCCCGCCACCTCATACCAGCCCGCCTTCCAGTGCTAGCCTTATCCAGCTGAAGGATTCATTCACCTTGAAGCTGACACAGCCAACCCTGATATGTTGTGGAGGCAGATTTGATATTCTTTCCACAGAACACTCACTGTTTAAAAGTAAACAAAACACGCCTGCACTACAAACTGAAGTATAAAAACAAAGACAGCAGAATCCGTGTGAGTTGGTAATTCTAGTCAAGAAAGTTTGAACCAGTGAGCTGGATCTCCCTGTGCCTGATGCTAAGCAATATTGTGCATACTGGTATACCCATAGGAATGTCACACAACAATAGATAGCTCTGATCTGATACCAGGTATTAGGCCACTGTCAGCAGAAAGGGCTGGATAGGATAAGAATGAATCCGATCCACTCCTGTAACAAATCTAGCCTGAAACAGCATAATCATTTTGAGTAATGTCATGTTGTTAGCTGTGCATTTCTTCCTGTGGGGTTGTAATAAGTTTGAGGAGTCTCAGCACAAAAAATGCTCATGTTAAATGAAGTGCTTCAACTAAACTGCATATTTAAAACTTTAGTAGTTAAAAGAGAAAAGGTTTCGGTACTGGCCTATACTTAAGGTTTCGTTACTGATATAGAAAAGAAAAGGTGGTATCGTGTCACCTCTAGACAGCAATATAGATTTTAAGTTTTAGTGATATTGATAGATAACAAGAACTTTGTTGACTACAATGTATGCTGGATGTTTCAGGTCAAAAAAACAAAAAAAAACATCAAAATAAGCAAAAATGAAATCATTTCTGGAAATCTGTTTTCTGCCTGGTTACTGTTTAAAATAATACTTAAGGTTTCTACTGGTGTAAAACGAAAGGGAGCAGAACAAAACAGCCCAAACAAATCAAGCTGTGTCAGGTTTGTAAGGCATTCTTTCAGCATAGAGTAGCAGGACTTGGGAAGTTCATTAACTTTAATAATGCAAGCTAAATATCACCTGATACCTTAAAAATGTGATTAACCTGGAAAATATTGCGATACCAAATGTTATCAGTATTGCCCAGCACTACCTGCGATCATTTAGGACTCTGTGAAAACTCAACTTGAATAACGAGGAAAACACATGCATCAGATCAGTTGACGATAAAAGTGAAGAGGTCATGAGTGATTATGGTAATAAATGTTTAGCGTGGCCACAGGTTTAGGCACTCCAGTCCTGCTGCTACAGCCGCTACTGCCTGAAGGTTTCCCTGGGCTGTTGCCAAACAAAATCCCTGCACTGAATTCATGATATCCCAGGCCATCACACTCACTGTAGAGGGAGTATTTTTAACGTGTCTGTGAACGAGTAATGGAACGCTTCTCCTCTACCAAGCCAACAAATCAAGAACAGTATCAGTTATCTATGCAATCAATCAATGACCAAATACTTCAAATTAACTCTAACTGCTCTATATGTAACTCAAGGATTCCCCATTAGTCATTCACCAAGCATATCCATCTCATCTTGCGGGCACAAAATCAAGTGGAAAAACATGAGGTGCCGCTATATCAAGATCATTATGATTCATATGCCTTTGATGCCGCCTCTCCGTATGGAATCCCAGGGCTTCTCTGAACATGTCTGAATAAATTATTGTTACATAATCAATAGCTCTGCCTCGCCTCATGCTTTTTTTCTGAAGCATCCTCCTTCATGTGAGCAATTTCACAGCCTAGCGTTCTAAAAACGCCAGTCTTGAGCAGCAACGGTATCCATGAAGGCTAGAGAGACATGATCTGAATGCGAGGAGAAAAAGAGAGGGGGAGAACTAAAAGCAAAAGAGCATGCCTCCTTTATATACATGGTCAACAAAAGTATCTTCATCTGCTCTTATCATGTGAGGAATTAATATACGTTCCCATTTCATCAACTGCAGCAGCTAAGCACTGTTTGTTTTTGTCATTTTCCTTTGCTTACATATGACAATACCCAGATAAGCTAGAGCTTAGTCCTTTACAGGCTTTATTAAGGTCTTTCTGCAAACAATACCAAACAATAGCTTAATTAGAGAAGCAGACACTCTTACCATGTTTGTGGCAGCTACATGCAAATGTTCGACGAGAGTATGCATGGATTTAGCCGGCTCAGACATTCATGGCGCATTGGAAAAACAAAATAACATCCGATTCATTCATAAGTCTTCCAGGAGAAAAAAGGCAGAAAGCTGCGAGGCGTTATTCAGCAGCCTAGGTAGTCAGCAGCACAGCATCCTCTAAGCATTCCACAGCTTTACTGAAGCGCCAGTCTATGTCTGGCAAAAGATATTATGTAACACACTTATGTCCTGGGAGTGAGGGCCAATCAAAGTTGCTCTGTTTCCAAACAGCATGAAAAAAAACACAAAACTGACTCATACGCACACACACAACCCCCCTCAGTGGGGATCAAACAGCATATCAAAAGGATTTCTCCTAGCTTCTTCAATTTGTCCAAAAGGTAATGCGCCTTTGACATACGATGTGCTGGATAGCTTGTGGCACAGGGAAAAAAAAACACATCAAGTGCCCCAGTCTCCTTTACAGTCCTACTTAGTCCAAGCCCAAACTGTTAAGTGACACTGGGATATTTTTGTGGTTTCTCACAGCTGTTTGGGGGTGAAAATTGAATTTGGAACTGCCACGTGTTTCAGAAAGTGAAGAAATGTGGCACCACACGCTCTCCTGCATGTGACAACACTTCCGAACGCATTAAACATTCATATTTCTGATCTTCTCCTGCCATTCTATAATAGCTTATTTGAAGTAGTTTTTATCTAGACCCCTGGACATTTTTATGTCTTTTTCTATCAACATGGCAGTGATTTTTTGGAGATTTTTTGTACATTCAAAGAATAATCTATGTTGTTTTAATCATTTCGCCATCCAGTACAATCAAAATTTAGCATACTGATGTAGATGCTGTGCTTAGGAATGCTTCTGCCATTTATAAACTTTCAATCTAGGGGGAATCATTTCAATCTAATTCCAAGTTCATCAGATTAGGCACCACAGTGATGAAAACTGACAAGGACTAGTTTCTAAAATAACACTATTAAACAAATTAATGGCAGACAACATGTTTGATATATGCTCTTAATAATAAAAGCCAGTCTATGTCTAAAGATGCCATAAGCTTTTATTTATTTTTTTTGGAGCAATGCCATATAAGGACCACTTCAAATGGATGGATCTTTAAAGAACCTCTGTTGCAAATGAGATGTAAACCTCCCCATAATTGCAACAAAAGTTTCTATTTCAGTCAGGGTTTTTTTTCACAAAAGATGGTCCTTTTTTCTTTTTTTAGTAAAGAAAATTGTCCTATATGGAAAAATGAACACTCAAAGAACCCTTTGCATCATGAAAGCGTTCTTCAGATTGATGGAGAATGTGTTTTATATGGTTCTATAGAGAACCTTTTTGAAACGGGTTCTATATAGCACCAAAAAGGGTTCTTCTGTTGTTACAGGCTTGACATCATGACAATAGAAGAACCCTTTTCAAAAGGGTTCTATGTAGCCCCAAAAAGGGTTCTTCTATTGTCATGATGTCAAGCCTGTAACAACAGAAGAACCCTTTTTGAAACGGGTTCCATATAGCACCAAAAAGGGTTCTTCTGTTGTTACAGGCTTGACATCA